AAAAGGTCCTAACTCAACGAAAAATGGACCAAAATTGATGGGATTTGTTGGAGAGATTACTATTCTCAAGATATATGATAATCTAATGATGTCAACATGATAAACAAACAACAAACAACAACCAGAATATATTTTTTTTAATTTTTTCAAAGACAAAGTGAAGGATTGATGAGGTCTGAGACTGATATGCCATGTGATTACTATAACAATCGATTGACAAGAGCCAAGGCGGGAAAAAAGCAAAAATTTGAAAAATAACGACACGTCTCACACGAGAAGACCATCACACAGGCGCTAATACTCATCTACTAATATGAAGACTCAGTTAAGATCCGCATTCGGATCAATCACATGTGAACAAATGGTTAAAAGGTGAGTACAGCGGTTAAGAATGACGTCAAAGAGTCGAACAGGAAGGATTATTCCAACAAATTAGAATTTTCAGCTGCCCGTTAAATCACAATTGGGTAGCGTATAAGACAACTTGTGTGTCTGTAGAAACTACAGACGAGTTGAAAGTCAAACTACTTTACAAGTGAGCACTACTTTGCATCTACTCGGACAGTCTGCAACGAGGTTCATGAGTACAGAAGATATGAATGATCACTGAAACTTACAGTCTTCCTTGTTTCAGGTTTGTGGAAGCCAATGAGAGTCAGGACAGTTTTCCGGGAAACTGGGTTCAAACAGATGATGAGAACAGACTGGACCAGAGAGTTAGTACCCAACAGATACAAGCAACCATAAATTACGGCTGAACAATAGAAAATTCAGAATGACGTTGTCAATTCAAACTACTTGAATTTACAGGGATAAAAAGCGAAAGGGCTATTCCGATAGGAGTACATCCAGATACGGATAAAGTACAAACCACCTTGAAGACCAGTTATGCTGAATCAGAGCCAAAACTGTGATTACCTGGATCGTTAGGATCTTCAGCACTTTCAAATGATGACTGGATGCTCCGGTAGACATAAGGCTTTGTTTCTTGTGGATAGTACGGATGATCTCAAATGCAGTGAATACAGTCACCTGAAGGTCATAAATGAGGTTCAATGACTACCAACAGCACGAGACTGAGATGAGCTTACTACTGAAACTAGCAGAATCGCAACAACGAAATAAACCGGATAAAATATTTCTTTGAAAGTCTTTAGATGGTAAGATCCAACTGTCCTCGTTGACATGTAATCCAACTGCTTCTGTGAAAGCTGAAAGCATTTCATATGAGAGGATAACCTATTCTCTGATGAACTCACATTGAACGGAAGGCTACTCGGCTCAAACTCACTATATCCAATATAGAATGTTACTGATGATACGAAAGAAAGAAAGAACTCAATAACAGCACAGATAATAGGAAACAGATAAGGTTTCTGGAGAAAGGAGATGAAGCTGAGAGACTAGCAGACACTTACCCTAAGTAAGTGAGTATGATCGACTATCAAGTACAATCTGAACAAGTAGCTTCCAACAAGAGTAACACCATAAGATCCGAAGACAAAGCAAAGGAGTGTGTAGCCATTTGCACATGTTAGACCAATCAGGTAACAGTATCCTTCACAGTAGTAAAAATTATAATTAAAATGAGATATAAGCTTCAGAAGTATGGAATATAGGATGGAAAACAGGAATAGAAATGCCTGCAAGGAAAAACTCAAAGTGAACGGAAGTGACTAACTTACTCGTTGAGCGTGCACCAACATCTTGTAGTAGTGAGACTCCTTGCTGGGAGGTGACAAGTAGATAATCAGATAACTGAAACCGTAAGCCACACATGTAAAGATGAACAGAATATTGTGAATCATTTTATATGTTTCATTATCGGGCAACTGATGATTGAATAGAT